CCGGGGCATTAATATTAAAACCTCAGCTTTCTTTTCTTCTAAAATTAATCTATGTTATTATACATTATATATGATGTCTGGTGTCAGCTTTGATGTGCCTAGCCACCATCAAAGAATATAGTGGCTGGACACCATCAAAACTGATACCAGCCAGAGCATAGAAAATCTCAAAGAAGTTGTGCAAGATTGGAAGAAGTGGAGAAACCTGGTCCATAGAACTGCCGAGAGTCAGACACAGCTGAATGGATATATTATTATTATTATTATTATTATTATTATTATTATTATTATTATTATTATTATTATTCCCCATCATCATCATCTAGAATGTCTACTATAGCACAATAAAATATTATTGGAGGGGAAAACACTATTAGAAAGGCTAAGGCTTTTATATCAAACTGATTCAAATGTTCCTGATGTTTTAAACTGTAGAAAGGCTTTCTGACAACAACAAAAGTGACATTGAACTATAAAATATTATTTAACTGTGTTATTTTTTTTCTAGTCATCTTATCCGTGGTCAAACCAATCAGAGTCTGCTGGTTCACAATGTGAGTTACTGTAAAGATCACTACTGGGAGTGGGAAAGATCAGCTCAGTGTCCTCTGCCCCAGTTTTCGGGTAATGGCCCTTCGGTAAGAATTGCAATTATATTGTGAGAGCATTTTCCCGCTCCAACAGAGGACCAGAATGAGAACTTCCAACTGAGAACCACTGACATACTAGTGATGGTTAACCTTTTTTGGCTCCCATGCCAAAAAGGTCATGCACAGGTGTGCCACACCCATAATGCTATGTGCATGACCCCCCCACTGCGCATGCACATGCACACATACCAGTGTCCCCCTCCCTGTTTTTGGCATTTTTTTTGCCCTCCCCAGGCTCCAGAGGCTTTCTAGGAACCTGGAGAGGGTGAAAACAGCCTTCTCTGCCCCGCCCCCCCCCGGAGGCCCTCTGGAGGCTTCAGGGGCTTCCCTGAAGCCTCCAGAAGGCAAAAAATGGACCTACAGGAAACCTGGAAGTTTGGGAATTGTGACTTCCAGTTTGTCTGTAGGGCCGATTTTCAACCTCTGGAGCCTTCAGAAGGCTTCCCTGAAAGCTCTGGAAGGTGAAAAATGGACCTATGGACAAACCAGAAGTCACTGTTGGTTTGTTGGAATCAGTGGTGGGATTCAAATAATTTAACAACCTGTTCTCTGCCCTAATGATTTCTTCCAACAACCAGTTCATCAAACTGCTCATAAAGTTAACAACCGGTTCTCCTGAACTGGTGTGAACTGGCTGAATCCCACCATTGGTTGGAATCCTCCTGAAGACCCCTGAAAGCTCCGGAAGGCGAAAAACAGACCTATGGGGAACCCAGACGTTCGGAAATGGGGAGGGTGAAAAACGGTCCTACGAGCAAAGCGGAAGTCTGTTCCTGAACTTCCAGTTTGTCCATAAGGCTGGTTTTCCATGCTCTGGAGGCTTCCTTGAAGCAAAAAATGGCCTCAAAAGAAGGCTGAAGTCAGTTGGCCAGTGCGTGCATGTGTGTTGTCCAGCTGATAGGGCAACGCCTCTCGTGCCCTAACAAATGGCTCCGCATGCCACCATCACAGCTATATACAATACATAGCAACACTGATACACACAAATCCCATTAGAACACTTTGAACTTCATCTTCAAAAGATGAGATAGCCCCACATGAAAAACAAAGGAAGTCCCACATAACCCAAAGAGAAACAGGATTATAATCCATATGGTGGTCCCACTTCCACGATTTATAACTTGAGCAGGAAAACCAGCCACAGAATTTGGTATTCAAGGACAGGTAGCAAAAAAAAATAATTAAATTTTGAATCCTAAAGATTATCTGCCAGCCTGATGTCTTTAAATAAGACATTGTGGCTCTGCCCTAGAAATGATTGCATTCATCTCCCGCTTGCAAATATGATTCTGGCTGCATACTGTCTATATCTTCTAATACTTTATATGAAAGTAATGAACTGTGACTCTCTTTTATCAATGCCCATTAGGATGATTTGATATATGAAACAGTTGGTAAACTTATCAAACACAGAAAGCATAATGCTGACACAAGCAGTCTGAATTGGCATTTAAATAGTTTCCATCACCATCTGAGTCATTTTTGCCCCCAAAGTGGGATGTGCTGCAGTTAAGCTCCAAAACTGAAAAGGTTCTTCAGTATTGGTGACCATGTATGTTGCTTCTGTTAGTGTCTCCCAATAGAAGTTATGCCTTCCCCTGGGCTTGCACTGAAAAAAATAAATGAATGAATTAAAGTATCAACAGAATGCATCAAGGTGTTTCAGAGAAGGTAGTAGCAAATTCTTCGCACCACTAGCTTGGGGGGGGAAAGGGTGAGTTAGGATTTCTTTTAAATAGGAAAATATATTACCCATCAGTTCTGCAGTTTTATTGTTGCAAAAAGAAAGGTAGCTTTTCCTCGTCCATTTTTAGTTACACTGCAGCTACTGAAATAATCAGATTAACTGGAGCCTCCTGGGACCCTAAAGATCTGGAATTACAATCAAACTGCTGCATATATTCCTTTAATTTAACTGGACAACACAAATGGGAATATATAAAGATATGCATTAAAAGTAAGACAATAACATGATTTAAGTTTTACAAAATTACAATTGCCTGTTTCCAGGCGAATAGGTAGCATGAAATCTAAGGTAAATATCCATACACTTAAAAGATCCTAGGTTCACTTCATTGAATTGGGAAATTCAGTGTCAGGAAAAGAGTGGAATCAAATACCTCTTTATTTGGAATTGTAACCTGTTGTTTCCTCACTGTCGTATTAAAGATAGATGAAACTGGATTATCCCATAGCAAACTTTTCTGCTAATAATGTTAAACTTCTAAGAATAGTAACGCTTGTCTCTTCATCAGTCTCTTCCTCAGTCTTCATCAGAGTCTACCCAGAATCATTTAATGCCATTATCGATGACTTGCCACCCTAGCAAAAGGCTTGTGTCCTAAACATAATGAATATAACTTTGAACATTCAACAGGACATTAAAGGCTAATCATTTCCTACAAATAGACATTTTAAAGGTTGCACTTTCCAGAGCAGCTCACTAAGGATCAAAAGAACCAATCTGGAAGACCATGGCTGAATGGTCAGGGAAGATATAAAATACTTTAAAATCCTTCACAGTGATTTTTATGTCTGGACATTATAAACAAAGAGGGGGAAATGATCTTATTATTTCCCCCTTTCTTTATCAAGTCATTAGGACAAAAATTTGTCTTCTATCAGTGACATCTTCTGCCAGTGGACAATTTCTTCATCATGGTAGGACAACAGTGATTGACAGTCCTCCTATCTAGAAGAAATTCAAAAAGTAGCATTCTTGAGAATTCAAAGGAACAGATGTCATTTGGCATCCTCCGAAGTCTGCAGTCGCTCAGTAGAATGTGTTAGAAGCCACACTCCAACAAACAGCAGGTGTGGTCAGAGTCACAAATTTGTGGAGCCGAAAGTAAGCCGTTACTCTGCGACTTTGCTTAATTTTGCAGTGGGGAGAAGGATAGTTAACTTTGTTTTCCTCAACTTCTTAAATTTTCTTTTTCCTGTGCCTATACTGCTGATTGTCAGTCAACAAGATAGCATGCTGGATGCCTGCCCAGTGATAAGCAAAGCTCAGGCAGAAATCTTTACCAATACCTTAAGATAGCAATTGTAAAGATAATCAAAAGACGTGGCACAGGTCAAGCTCAGAAATCCAAAAGAAGTGACAAAACCAAAGGACAAGCCCCAAAGGTGCTTTTTTCAAGAGGCAACTGGATTTTCTTTGAAGACGTTTCTCATCCAAGAAGCTTCTTCAGCTCTGACTGGATGGTGGGAAATGGAAGGGTTTATATGCTATCTATCTCCAATCTACAGCACAGTCCTTTCAACAGTTCCAAGAAGGTTCCACACCAATGTGTATACTCAGGTGACCCCGATGACACAGATAAACCTCAGGTGACCTTAACGACCTGCTAAATGCAAATGACCAGTTTTCTGCAAGGAGTATGAATCCTTTCATTTCCCACTATCCAGTCAGAGCTGAAGAAGCTTCTTGGATGAGAAGTGAAATGTCTTCAAAGAAAAGCCAGAAAAAGCCAGCTGCCTCTTGAAAAAAGCACCCTTGTGACAACTGTCACCTGGATGGCTGAGAACCTCCATAGACAAAGGGCAAGACAAGAGAAATAGTGGCAAGGAATCTAGAATACAGGTAGTTCTCAACTTACAACAGTTCATTTAGTGACCATTCAAAGTTGCAATGGAACTGAAAAAAGTGACATGACCATTTTTCACCTTTGTAGCATCCCCATGATCATGTGATCAAAATTCAGATGCTTGCAACTGGTTCATACTTATGACCATTGCTGTTTCCCAAGGTCATGCAATCACCTTTTGCAACCTTTTGATGAGCAAAATCAATGGGGAAGCCAGATTCACTTAAAAACTGTGTTCTTGGAGTTTTCTCCCCAGGAGTGAGGTCAATAAATCAGCCACCCTGAGCCTCCCCACAAAACTGTGGGAGTTTACTCAACATTGGCTCTTCTGCAGGGTTGTTTCTAGGCAGGTCTCATCAATCTGCAGAGCTCTGCTCTTGATTGTTGTTGAATCGTCAAACATATCTGCTTAAGGTGACTGGACTTCAGAGTGAGAGACTGTCAATGAGTATAGACAAGACATCCTGAGGACTTTCTAGAACTGGCTCAAGAGTGGAGTTGTGAGGTTCACAGTTACTACAGATCCCTAGATGCTTCTAATTCCACTTCCTACCCATGCTCCACATGATGGAATATATTTAGCTGGGCCATTACAACATGAGCATGATTTCAAACTAATGAAAGGGAAGAGTCTAAACTACTAAACTAGTAGTAGTCCCAAAATACTCTGGAAAGAGTCTGGAGATCCCAACTGAAAGAAGCATAGATCTTCATTTAGATCATCTGCCAAAGATTCTGCCCTCCTGCTATTATGTGATTCATATTTAGAATCTGTGGTGCCACTTTAAATAGTGTAGTTCAGGAACAAGCAACTTACAGCACTCAAGATATTGCCAAACAATACTTCCCAGCATTGCTCACTATAGGCCATGTTTCCAAAATCAGCTATCTTTTAACAAGCACCTGGTTTTGTATCAACTTACCTTCTTTTTCTCAATCCAGAGAGTTATCAAATCAATGAAGGCCATGTCTGTGTCCATTATGGCCAAGTGTCCTCACAGTGGTTTGCACTGCTTCTCTTGAGGGAAGTGGACTTGAGTTGCATAGGGGAGCGTGCTTCCTGGTAGCTCACACAGCCTTTGCATGCCTGTTGGGTGGCCCCAATCTAGTGCCACTAAATTGGGTAAGAAAAACTTAACAAACAGTTAGTGTGAACGGGACTCAACTGTATAAACTTTTCTCCATAACCTGTGTGGTGAAAACTGGAAATAGTTTGTGCTAGCTCAAAGCTAGGTGGCATTAGGATGCCACCATTCAATTTTCAGGATCATTAATGAAAACGTTCATCAAAAATTATTAGCTAATTCTGTGACAATGCTATGGTTTGGAAAGCCAATATTAATATTAGGGAAAGAGAAATGAAAAATACCGAAAAGGACACATGACTTTTTGGTAATATGTAACAAATGTAATCAATTTTATTTAATACAATTATTTTGATTAATTAAACAAGTCCACTCTGTTAAACTTAGAGCTAGTAGCTTTCTACTAATTGAACAGAATATTAAGGGATATTAATATTCTGTAATTTATTAATACTATTAATAAATAATAATAAAAATGTAGAAGTGAAAAGTAATCCCTTTATTTTTTATCTTAGAAAAATCTGAATTATGAAGGAACAGAAAAATGAGGAAATACTGGAAGTTTATAAATGATTAATCTAGTTTTGTTTTGTTTTTGATACAAACTAGAATAATTCTGTTTAGGGTTCAGTTGTATTATACAGTGTTATTTTTCTTTCTGTTCATATATACATTAAAAGTAAATTTAAATCTATTTTCTTTGGTGTAATCGGGTTGCAATTTGGAGAAATTAGATTTTTCATATTCTTTGCAGTCTAAAAATGCTACCCTAAGCTTTTTTCCCCCTAAATATTAATAGGAAATGCTTGAAATGAATAGGCATCCTTGCACATCTAAAAAAATCTTTTAAAAAAATCCTGGACATTCTATTATATCTAATTATCTAAAGCTGTTGTACTTTGAACAGAATTACCAGCTGATATATATATAGTCAGTTAAGTAGCTTTAATCAATAGGATGATCAGTATATATAACCATGAAGCTGCCATATCTGGAGATCTAATAGCTGCCATATCTGCCATATCTAATGTCATAGATCAGCTGAATATAATCACTGACAATAAAACAGCCTAATCAATTAAATAAAAATAGATTATTTCAGTGTAGCAGTACTTTCTGACTGATGATAAATTATACTAGAAAACTGCTGATTTTTCAGTAGACGTAGAGAGAGAAAAACAGTTTTCCTTCCTTAAACTGGTTCTGCCCATTTCAGAAAGGCATATGTGGGTTGAAGAGAACTGGTGGAGAATATAGGTTTTAATTATCCAAACAAAAGGGGATATATTAGAATAGCTGTTAAAGCTCCTTGCTAAAGCAAAGCCAATGCTGATGCCTGTTCTGCAAGTTTCCCCTTTAAATGTTTTTCACTACCCCAGCATCTTAAGCAAAGAACTAATGTGGATTGTCCTAAAGCAATGCTACATCAAGAATATTGTGCCCAAATAAAATAGCAGCCAAACACACCAGCCTTGTTCTGTAGAACATTGCTTTCCCTGTGGTTTATAATCAAGTCAATGTAGCAGGGTTCATTGAGGCCCACAAATGGGTGTGGCTTGTCTACAAGCAAACACTTTGCAGAAAGCTTTCTCACATCTGAAATTATCTATGCATGTCTTTGTTGGTGAGTTTGTAATTCTCATTGTAGAGTATGTGTGTGAGCAACTTTTGACCCCAGGGAAGTATGCAGTCCTTGGCTATACAAATTGTTACTTTCCATTGTTTGTTTTCTAGCATGGATTGTTCTTTTCTTATTGCCATTAGCATCCTTGTCCCATCTGCCTCCTGATCCCTCACTCATCTGTGAATAAGATCAGAGTTTTAACTAATGGTTAAAACAACAACAGTATTTTTCATTGATTCACAGGTAGAGACAGAGATAGCACTTAGACATAAATACCGTTTCATAGTACTTTACAGCCCTCTCTACGTGGTTTACAGAGTCAGCCTATTGCCACCAACAATCTGGGTCCTCATTTTACCTCAGAAGGATGGAAAGCTAAGTCAACCTTGAACTGGTTAGACTCGAACTGCCAAACTGGTGGCAGTCAGCAGTCAACAGAATTAGTCTAAAATACTGTATCCTAACCACTGCACCTCTCACTGCCCTTAAAATAAAATGGGATTGTGTATAACAAAAGAGAAAAGGGGTTATGTGAACAGACATACTGTATCTGCATGTGTGGGATTCCAGCCTGATAATGTATTGAAGCAAAAAAGGTAGTCTATTGTAATGTACACTTCATATCCTGGCCCCCTTACCTCCATGAGGATGCATATAGTTTTACATTGATCTTCTCTTAGATCAGTATTTCTCAAGCTTGGCAACTTTAAGTTGTGAGGACTTACTGACTAGGAAATTCTGGGAATTGGTCCACATATCCTAAAGTTGCCAAGTTTCAGAAACATTGACTCCAGTAGATAAAGATAGCTTGGAATAATGTTGTATCTGCTGATGTTTACATCTGAAATTGTAAAATTACCTTTTTAACCACAACATTGTTATTATATGATTCCCAACAGGCTTGGAAGTGGGTCTTGGGCCCTGTGATATTGCACATCTGTGAAAGAATGATTCGATTATGGAGATTTCAGCAAGAGGTTGTTGTTACAAAGGTGTGTGTTTATGCTATTTACTATATTCATGAATATTTTGTTACCTTCATATTATTGTTGTTTTTGACTGTAAAGAACTATGGATCCTGAAATATGATATAGCTAGATGTTTACACATTTAAGTCCTGTTACTTTGCAAAATGCAACTCACTCATATTCATAGCTGATTAGAGTTAACTCTAGCAGCTGATAAGAACAAGTAATATTTTAAAACATTGAATATGTGTGTGCAGGCACAGGGATCAGTCATATTCAGTGGTGAAATTCAATTTTTTTTACTGCCAGTTCTATGGGTGTGGTTTGGTGGGCGTGACAGGGGAAAGATATTGCAAATTTTCCATTCTCTCCCCTGGGGTCAACCAGAGGTACTATTTGCCAGTTTTCTGAACTACTCAAAATTTCTGCTACCGGTTCTCCAGAACCTGTCAGAACCTTCTAAATTTCACCCCTGGTCATATTCCCTCATGAGATTGACAGAGACATTTCTTTTATTTCAAATGAATTGTTTCATTCATATAACCATGCTTGCAGATCATTAATAGTATTCTGCCCATTGATAGGTGTCGTTCAGATTATAGTTAAGCTAAATGTTCCCCATAATGAAATCCTAGATGAAATCTACTAGATCAGTGTTTCTCAACCTTGGTAACTTTAAGAGGTGCGGATTTCAACTCCCAAAATTCCCCAGTGAGTCCACACCTCTTAAGATTACCAAGGCTGAGAAACACTGTACTAGATGAAATCCATTGATTCTTGCAATAGTGCTTCCTATGATAAAAGAGTTGGTTTATCAAACCTGGCCTGGAGAAATCCAAATGCCCACTATTACACCTGCTAATGAACAGAATAACTAAAATGTGGGAAATGTTTAGAATATTCTGGATGTCTTTCTTCTAATAATTGTCTGAATTCAGGTAATTCCAATCTGGTGGCCCCATCAAATAAAGATAAGGGCAGGAATACTTTTGTACCAACAGAATATTTTCTACTTCTTTCTCTCAGTAATCAGATTCATCCGTGCTTTCCATGTTATGATTATTATTTATAAAGTACAATACAAAATATGAAGAAATGTTCTTGGTAAACAAAGTTGGAGATCAAAAGAAGTAGCCTAATGACCATCCTTCCAGTCCTATGATCCTTCACCAGCTTATCTGCCTCTTCCTGTAATCCCTGCTATTGAACAGAATAATTAAAATATTATTATTATATGCTGGTTGCCATTTTGCTTAGGTGGTGTCTCATGCCTCTGGGGTCTTAGAGCTTCAGTTGAAGAAGCGTGGCTTTAAAATGGAGCCTGGGCAGTACATCTTCCTCCAGTGCCCTGCAATCTCCCAGCTGGAGTGGCATCCTTTCACCCTCACCTCAGCTCCTGAAGATGACTTCTTTAGCGTGCACATACGATCAGTTGGGAACTGGACAGAAGCCATTTTCAGGACCTTTGGAGCCCACGAAAAAACATATAAGGAACCCTGGAAACTGCCAAGGTATGGAAATACTTTGCAATGTAACTGTCTTGGCTGTTCATTTTTGATTATCTAAAGAAGCCAAGCTCATATGCTAGCTGCAAATGTAGCCATATCTACTATCTTACTAGTAGGAAAAATAGATAATAGAAGACTATTGAAATGGCAGTACGTAAAAAAGACTTCATATGTCATTTTACCTGAATCTGATTCAGCCCAAAGTAAGCATCTTGAAGTATCACATTTTTCAAGGGGAAGCATTAAGAATTTGCTTAAGGCTGCATACCCCAAGCCTCCCTGTGGATCAGATTTTATTAATCTCTAAACTTCTTCTTTTCACCCTTCTACCTCATTTTCTTATTGAATCAGTCACTTCCACAGCACTCTGAAAGAAAGAGGAAATATGTCTGGTTTTAAAAAAAAAAACCATCCCAGAAACCACAAATTCTCTAAGATTTACTCCAAAGCTCATTATTATGTTGAGTGGGGAGGGAGAGATTTTATCTGAAAATAATATTTATCCCAATATGCAATGTCCTAATATTAAAACTATGCCGCTCTGCATTGTCTATTATTCTATGGCAATAGAATTTCTACTTTTGCCACAACACTGTTTCTCTTTCCTAACTGTTATGAACTTGTACCCACAATTTTGAGAGAACCTTGGGGGTGGGTGGAATTTGGATAAATAGATTGTTAAAATATTCAAGACTGGGAGAGACATGGGAACAAGGTCAGTCATTAAATAGGCATAGCAACAAGGTCAACCAATGAGAACTTAAGCACGTCTATGCAGAGAATTGAAACAGAAACTAAAGCAGTCTGCTGCTCTGAGAAGTAAACTAGCAGTCTATCTGGGCTTGTCTACTGATATTGAAACTAACTGCTTGTGTTTGCCTGTAACTCTCCTGCCTTGTGTTTACTTGGAAGAACCACCCGTTGGTATTGTACATTTATCCATCTATTCTTATGTATATAAAGAAGTTAATGAATCCAGCTGTATCAGTTATCTGTGTGTGCTTCTGGATTTGAATTTATGCAACAAACACTGACATAAATCTCCTTTGGATCCTGAAGCAGCATTATCTGGAAATGTATCAGATGCCTGTTTTCATAAAATTGCTTTTAGCTTCCATGAAAGGGGTGCCTGTTTGTATGAAAAAGCCCCAAGTCCAAGTCCACATATTCCCTTTTCAAAGCCTTGGTGAGAAGAGTTTTGGAGATACCTGACTAAATTCTTAGAGAAAGACAAGACAGGTTAGCTAATATTACCGTAATTGATGAATCTGCCTTTTAATCCCAGATTTGCTTCAGGTAGGATCCAAAGGAATTAAGTCCAAATCCGGTTAATTCGTGTCACATCAGTGATATTATTTTTAATCCACTGAATTGGGGATTCAGTCTCCTAAATATAGGAAGTCTCATTTAAAGGCTGCCTTGTTTAGAGATAGTTTACAAGTGCAATAGGGATGAAAAAGTAACTTTATGGCCAATCTTCACATTTACGACCTTCACAGGTCAGTAAAGCAAAGGAAAGCTGTAGTAAGATCTCAAGCATAGTCACAGTTGCACTTAGCAGCCACTATGCTTAACAATCAAGTTGCTAGTGCCATGTGTGGCTGCTAAACAAGGACTACCTATATCTTGTGAAAAAGCAATATAGCTGATGATTAAAAAGTGGCTTAGTGAAGAAACAATGGATTGTATTTACTGCAGCTCCCTTTTTAGCATTTCTTTTCTCTTACTTTCATGCTTTCAGATATGAGGTCTGAAGAAAAGCTACAGTCATGTTCTCTTGATCACAAATGCATTTGTCCATATGAGCACAATTTTAACTCCTTTTACAGACATCTTGAAGAGATTGACAGAGTAGAGGCAAGCTATTGTTTCTCTCTCCTCCTGGATCCGAGTGCCATTATCACGTTGGATGGCCTTCACATTAGACAGAGTGGGACAGCCTTCTTGGGTGACAGCTACAACAACACTCCACTGCACCTACAACATAAAAACCAAAGTGGTGGTACAGATAGTCCTCAATTTATAACCACAATTGAGTCTTATCCCAAACTCATTTTGCCGCATTTTTTTAACCTTTCTTGCCAAATTTGTTAAATGAATCACTGTCGTGGTTAAATTAGTGATGTTGTTAAGTGAATCTGGCTTCTCCCTTGAGTTTACTTGTCGGAAGGTCACAAAAGGTGATCACATGACCCCGGGACACTGCAAATGTCATAAACACATGCTAGTTGCCAATTGTCTGAATTTTGATCATATAACCATGGAAATGCTGCAACGGTCATAAGTCAACTTGCCTTTGAAAGTTGTGGGAGCTTCATCACTTGAGACTTTCAAGAAGAAATTGGACTACCATTTGTCAGAAATGGTGTAGGATCTCCTTGCAGCATTGAACTTCAAACAGTTACTAAACAAATGGTTGTAAGTCAACAATTTATAGTCTATCTGTAGTCTAAAAGCAATGCAAAGGAAATGTTGAAAGTTACTATTTTGTAAGTATTAGTTGGGATGTCATTGCAGACTTGCTGTAGATGGGCCCTTGGGAGCTGCAGTCACTGATGTCTTTCAGTATCCGATTAGTGTGTGCATTGCGGCAGGAATAGGAGTCACTCCTTTTGCTTCCATTCTGAAATCTATTTGGTATAAGAACTGTAATCAAAATGCACAACTCAGAGTGGAAAAGGTAAGTCATATTATGGTTATGGATTTCATCTATCTTATTTCATCACTGTTAAACTTTTTGCAAGTAAACTAATTTAGTCAAAAGCTTGCTCCACTTAGTCTTACCTAGTGACACATCCTGTAAAAAGTTGAGCTTAACTACTGGTGATTACATCAACATGACTCACTGTTTTATTGACAACAGTACAGAATTTTTTTTGAGAGTGATTATATTGACTTCTTACTGGGATTACCAGGTAGCATCTTATCCAAATTCTAACCAGGATGTTGTTGTTGTTGTTGTTGTTGTTGTTGTTGTTGAGATCAGCTAGATTCTGCTATTCTTCTTCAGCTATTTGCTGATGTCTGGGGTCATAACATCCTGGAGCTAGTAAAGAAGTAGAATTATTTCAGTGTTGCCTTTGCAAGCCCTATCTATTGCAACTAATTCATATCCTTTGTCACCAAGATTTCCATGAATTGTGCCCAAATACCATAATGTCAGGTTTAATATGACAGAAGATAGAAAAATATATTCCCCATTGACATTGTGAATAATTATTTCAATTGTATGTACTGTTATACAGATCAAATTTAGCTTTTGTCCTTACTCCATCCTTTAGTATACAGTATTTGTCTACTTTGATAACTGTGGCCCCTGACCAGAATCAGCTTTAGAAAATGTGTGTGTGTGTGTGTGTGTGTGTGTGTGTGTGTGTGTGTGTGTGTGTGTGTGTGTGTGTGTGTGTATGTATGTATGTATGTATGTATATATATATATATTTGTTGTATTTGTGCTGATAAATAAATAAAGGGAGACTAGTATAGATCTATTTCAAGCTATTTAGCTCTCATCAGCTAGCCATACCCTTACAGGGATTTGAACCTGGGCTATATTACATACTAGGCAGACATCTTAGCCATTAGGCCACAGGATCTTATCCGTTATCAGCGAAGCCAGGGTGAAAGGTATCTATTAGATTTTACAACCCCCGGTATGCCCAAATATGGGAGGAAGATAACTACTTCCATTCTCTGTCCTTTGGCTCGTCACAAGAGACCATCCAGGCAGAAACCCAATATTTTTACTGTTGCCTTTTTGTTACATTTTTGTTGTATTTGTGCTGATAAATAAAGGGAGACTAGTATAGATCTATTTCAAGCTATTTAACTCTCATCAGCTAGCCATACCCTTACTGGGCTTTGAACCTGGGCTATATTACATACTAGGCAGACTTCCTAGCCATTAGGCCACAGGCTCTTATCCGTTATCAGCGAAGCAGCCTTACAGGACTGTAAGAATTACTATTGAGCCAATTTTATTTAAAGATTAAAGGTACTGGCCTAGAAACTGGGAGGTTGAGTGCCTTATCTTATATTTGAAGCCATTGGGTGACTTTGGGCCAGTCATTTTTTCAGATTTAGGAATAAATCAATGGTAAGCAAGAGAAACATTGCCAAGAAAATTGTATGGACCTATCCAGCCAATCCCCAGGAATCCTGACTGATTCAAAGATCATCATCATCATCATCATCATCATCATCATCATCATCATCATCATCATCATCATCATCATCATCCTGAAATCATAGATGAAATGGGCTCTGCATAACCTAAAAATACTTTTCTTATTATATTATATACCCAAGACTTGATAAACACTTCAACACGTCTGCATCCCCTTACACTGTCAAATTACGAATAGCCATTTAAGATGAACTCTTAAGAGCATCCTTAAGCATGATGTTCAAGGTATCAATTGAAAACATACACAAATGACTGCTGGAGTACATTATTAAACAATAGAGCTCTGCACTGTCAGGGCTGGCTAGAAAATCAAGTATACATTTTAAACCTGAGCACACTAGCAGGCTATAAGATTAGCCACTTATCTCCAAATAAATAATTTAAGACCCATATAGGATGCCCAGTGAAAGCTTGCACTTGGTTGAATTGTTTTACTTTCCCTTGACAGGTTTATTTCTATTGGATTTGCCGAGATCCATCTGCCTTTGAGTGGTTTGCTGATCTCCTATGCTTGCTGGAAGCACAAATGGCTAAGAAAGGGAAAGCCTATTTTCTGAGCTATCACATATTTCTTACTGACTGGGATGAAAGTCAGGTATAAATGAAATCTTCTGGGACTGAGTTACTGCATCTTATTTTTCTAGGACTGCAGCCTAAGGAACATAATCAAATGAAGGCTTAATCGCATCAAGCATGGCTTTCTTAAAATGAATCATACTTACATTTGTCTTTTGAAAGACACTGTTCCCAGCGCAGTGTCACAGAGTCCCAGCTATGCCAAAGCAAATGTCAAAGCTGGGTTTAATGCCAAAGTTCTCAGTAACTGCGGGAGTATCTAGATCTGTGATTGCTCTCCAAAGCCCTTTTCTTCCCATCTCATCTATCATTCTCCTCTCTGTTCTTCTCTGTCCCGAGGCTCAGCTAGCTACCAATTCACTCAATCTGCTGATATCACTGAACTTTTCTTTATGGTGCTAGAGTACCGGTGTCACGGCTTGTACTTCAGTTCCTACATGCTATTTGGGGGGATTGATAGATGAGACCAAATGAAATAAATGTCAGCCCAGTTGCTGGAGAACAAGGAAAGACCCAGAGCTGCCTTTAAAGAAACCTAAGCATGAGTTTGGACAGATTCACCTCAAATGCCTATTCCATCAGTCAATGGCACTTCATTGACTGGAGAACCTCTGGGCCCTCATACTTAATTATCATAATGTTGGATCATGTTTTAACATTTACATGGATTAAGCTGTGCCTCTAACGAAAAAGGATAGAAACAGACTTTTCTGGTCATTCTTTGCTCCAAGAGCCTTCCATTCAAAGAATCCTCTAACAGTTGGAAGATCCTGCTGACTAGCTTGAATAGCAATAGCACTGCTTCATAGTGCTCTCTGAGAGGTTTACAGAGTCAGCATATTGCACCCAACAATCTGGGTCATCATTTTACTGACCTCAGAAGGATGGAAGGCTGAGTCAACCTTGAACCTGGTGAGATTCGATCTGCCAAACTGCTGGCAGCCGATGATCAGCAGAAGTAGCCTGCAGTATTGCATTCTAACTACTGTGCCACTGCAGCTCAGTGAGAGATGGGAAACAGAATCACTGGAAGTTGACAGAATGAACCCAAACTTCAGAGACTCTCTCTCCCTATCATCCCTCTATATCTTTCAGTTGGTTCCTTCTGTTCTCTGAGCAGTCTTTGGAAAATCTGGACAGAAATTGAAGGTGATTTTTCAAGAGGCAACTAGACTTTCTTGTTGTTGTTTTTTTGAAGATATTTCGATTCTCATTCAAGAAGCTTCTTCAGCCCTGAAAGGATAGTGGGGAATGGAAGGATTTCCACTATCCTGTCAGAGATGAAGAAGCCTCTTGGATGAGAAGTGAAACGTCTTCAAGAAAAAAAACAAGAAAGTTCAGTTGCCTCCTGAAAAAGTAACTTTGGGACAACCATGACCTGAATGACTGAGAATCTCTACAGGCAAATTGAAGAGTGGGAAATACATAATATTTTCCCATTATATCTATATATTCATTTGTCCAGTAGTAATATTCTCTTTCTTCTTAATTCTAACATAATGACTTTTTGATCCACTGCAATATAGGCTACGCACATTGCCTTGCATTACGAGAAAAAAGTGGATGTAATTACTGGCTTGAGACAGAAAACTTTCTATGGGAGACCAAACTGGGACACTGAATTCAAACAAATAGCAGAAAATCATCCTGGGTAAGGCATGTTAGCAACTACTAATGATATCACCATGCTATGTTTTACTCAGTGTACAAAGCTAGGAAGGAAACTTGTTCTTTGGTATATTTAAGTTGGATATTTATACTAAAAGCATATTTATGTGTTATAATGCTTTCAAGGAAGAAATCTTGGGTAGGCAATGCCATCAAATCTAATCTTTGGACATGAAAATCTAATGTTTAGAAGTAGTTCAGCTTCTTGGCATTTATCCAGCTATAATTGAAAGCCCCAATCCAATTATTGTACAACACAAAGGACAAAGTAACATTAATTTTCATTGAAAATGGATATTAAAAAGATAAACAGTGAGGTCTTTTTTCTTAGAATGTCAAGGATGTGTTTGTTCCCCAATCTCATTGGTTGTAGATGTAAGGACAATGCTATTATGTTATTAGTTCATCTCAGCTTGAAAGGTCTAAGTTGAATACCAGGGAATTGGGACGGGTGGGTGTTGGTTTTTTGGGCTAGAAAGTCTTAGAACAGATTCTTTGTTCCCAGAGAGTTCTGAAGCAATCACTACAACTGCTAACTTCAGAAAAGAGGGAAAAATAGTTCTGATTACTTATCAGACCCCAATATTTAATTATTGGTTGATCAGAAACTAAAATCAATGCCATGGAAAGGAAGAAAGAATCGGGCTATTTTTAAGATATGCAAACGAAGAAAATTTTTTTTAGTGCAAACCTAGTCTGATTGCTTGGAAGTAAACCCCATTAATTTCAGCAAACATATTATCTAATATCTGTAACTAGGCTTTCAGATTCTTTAAAATAGTATATAACACGTACAATTTTATAGATGGAAATTATAATTAAACAATATAATCTAGTCAATATTTAATCCAATAATTGCTAAATAGATATTTATGCAGGACAGAAAAATTCTGAAAATTATCTATGATAAAAGGGGAAGATACTAAACTGGCAGGAATAGCCTAGATGATAGGCTCAAAATCCAGATGGATCTTGACAGACTTGAACACTGGGTCCTATCTAACAAAATGAAATTCAATGCAGAGATAAGTAAAGTCTTAAACTTAGGCAAGAAAAACCAAAAGTACACATATAGACTAGGTAAAACCAGGATTAATAGCAGTAACTGTGAGAGGGATCTTGGAGTCTTAAAGGATAACCAATTAAATATAACAGTGTGCTGCGGAAGCCAAAAAAAAAAAAGGCAATTCAATCCTAAATTGCATTAACAGAGGGACAAAATCAAGATCAAGTGAGGTACTAATACCACTCTATAAAGCCTTTGTAATACCACACCTAGAGTACTGCATCAAGTTTTGGTCTCTACACTATAAAAAAGATGGTGAGATTCTAGAAAGAGTGCAGAGAAGAACAATCAAGATGATTAGGGACTGGAGACTAAAGCATATGAAGAACAGTTGCAGGAACCAGGCATGACTAGTCTAGTGAAGAGAAGGATCACAGGAGACATGATAGCAGTGTTCCAATATTTGAGGGGCTGCCACAGAGAGGAAGGAGTCAAGCTATTTTCCAGAGCACCTGAAGGCCACGCAAGGAATAATGAATGGAAACTGAACAAGAAGAGATTCAACCTGGAAATAAGGAGAAATTTTCTGACAGTAAGAATAATCAACCAATGAAACAGCTTGCCTTCAGAAGTTGTGGGAATTTCATCACTGGAAGCTTTCAAGAAGAGATTGGACTGCCAACTGTTAGAAATTGTGTAGGGTCTGCTTGAGCAAGGGGATTGGACTAGATGATCTACAAGGTCCTTCCAACTCTGTTAATCTGTATCTATATCAGATGATATGCCAAATTTTGTGAAATATACAATAACATTTATAAATGTGTAATATTCATAAATGTCTCCTATTAAAATCTCTTCTCTATTTTCTGAACGAAGATAATATGAAAAAATTAAATGGATATATTCATTTTATTATATTGACATAATTCCTGATGTAAGGACCCCGCAAATCTTTTGAGTAATGTAACAATGTAGTTATTTATAAGTGGTCCTCACTTACCAATCACTCTTTCAGCAATCATATTGTTATGATGGTACTGAAAAAGAACTAATGATTGTCATCAAAGTTGCAGTTGTCACATTATCCCTATCACGTGATCACAATTTGAGAGCTTGGCATGCAGCATATATTTATCATAGTGAGAATGTCAGGTGGACACATAAATCACCATTACAACCTTCATAGTCAGCTTCCAGTGAGCATGTCAGAATCAATGGGCAAGCCAGTAGGAAATTGTAAGTCACAGTCATGTGATGTCATGCTTAATGACCGATGGTAGTTCACTTCATGACTGCAGCTGGAATTGATGTCATAAATCAGTGTAGTCATGTGGCATTTCACTTAACGACCCCATTGCTTAGTGATTCGGTTGCTGGTCCAAACTGCAGGGAGGATTAGCTGTATTTCTAATATTTCTAATTAGCCTAACAAGGGATTGACTGTAGGATAAAACAGACATCACATACTCTGTACTCTGTAACTTCCAAAGCTTAGCTTATATACCTATTTCAAAGCTTGATCAATACATGTGGACTATACCTTTACCATAGGTGTAGCCAATAACAAAATTATGAAATTCTCTTTTCAAGAAAGCTTGACAGGCACAAGATTATTCTTCTAACTAACATTTAAATACCTTTAAAGGCAAAGTCCTGAAAGCAATTAACATCAACTAAATACACTTAGAATTTAAAAAGAAAAAAAGAATTAAAAACAATCATTCTAATTAAAAATAATTTCAATCCTAACAACTGAGATGCTTAAAACCTAGCTTGGAGCATACTATCAACCAAACAGAAATTAAACTAGGCAAATCCTTTAAATGTTGATAAATATGTGATGTTTCTCCCCTGTTTCCCTTCTGGGCAGGATTTCTACAAATTTGGGATCACTGCAAAAAATGTCCTGTAATAGATGTTGATGGTTGACCAATAGTCAAGACAGTAAATCTAAAAGTTACAATGTCAGGTGTCACAGCACCATCATGATTTCCATAATAATATCATGATGCATTCTGTAGGCAGTGATATTCTCCAGGGATGGGAAGACGAAGCTTTTTTTTTTTACAAGAAACTCATTGCTGGTAGGTTTTTAAATGTTGCCTCTTTTATATTTTACTGACACAAAGACATTCCTGTACCATTTCAGTCATATTATTGTGATCCCTCTCAAATCTCTGGCTTCAAACACATACGTATGTATAGTTTTTCTATTCAAATAAAGAGTTCTTCACCATAATTTGTGAATCTTCATTTTCATTGCAGCAACCGCATTGGGGTATTCTTTTGTGGATCTAAAACTCTTTCTCGGAATCTTCAAAAGATGTGCAGCCGGTATTCATCCACTGATCCAAGAGGCATTCAATTTTATTATAACAAGGAAAGTTTCTAGAACTTATTTTTAAAATGATAGCTGGCAACTGCATGCTTGAAGCAATGGAACTACATAATTTTGAAACTAGTGTTTGTTATCTAGTAAAGGAACTTATATCACTATTACTACAAAGGCAGATACTTTAAAATATCTTAAATTCTTAAATGTTATACTCTATTCGGTTATAGGCTGCATGCTTTATTATTTCCTGTAAATCATTAATAAGTGTCCTATGGGAATAGAGTGTAGTATAAATTTTAAAAAAATAAAATAATGCAGAAACATAGACATCAAGACTAAGTTTTCTGTCTCTTCACTAGCTTTGAATAAGACACAATTTACATGTAGATTTCATCTCAAGAGAAGCGTAAGAAGACTCTCCGGTTTTTACTAGCCGGGCTGGTGACATATCTGAAGACAGTCTCTTTTATCACCAAAATGACCTGGATAGAGATTCTCAGTATTGTCCCCATGTTTTAGTCCAGAGCTCTCAAACTCCTGGCCCGCCAGCTGGATGCGTCACACACTAGCCACGCCCATTCCTGGTTTAGTGAAGGGGGGGGAAGTCACGATATGTCACGTGATGCCGCTGTGACAATGTGAGTTTGACAACCCCTGGGTTAGCCTATCTCAATGATGGCAAACCTTTTATCCACCAAGTGCCCAAATTAAAAGGTGTGCATGCGTGAACGTGCGCATGCACGAACATGTTCAGCAGAGACCCAAAGACCATCTGGCCAGTGGGAGGTGGGGCAGCACAGCAAGAGGTAAGAACTTTTTCTTTTGTGAGCTTCTGTTTTCATTGTTTGCAGGGAAACAGAAGCTCACAAAAGAAACACCATGGAGATCTCTGCGTGCCATCTCTGGCACACATGCAAGGGTTCACCATCACAGGCTTATCTGCAAAGCTAATCTATAGCACACCCTTTAAAGTATGAACTTTTCCCCTAACTCTGTATCTATGTGCAACCTGCCACCAAAACATACTATTTCTGATCATAATAAAATAATATCCAGTTTGATAATTAGAGGTTATTTGTAGCTATTTTCCATTCAAAGTAAGATATAGGTGGTCCTCGACTTACAACCGCAATCGAGCCCAAAATGCAATGTTGCTAAGTAAATTAAGATATCTGATATACAGATATCTTAAATTAAGATATCTGTAAAATGGGACAAAAGTCTGTGACTTTTGTCCCATTTTACAACTTGTCTTAGCATATTTGTTAAATGAATCACTGCCATTGTTAAATTAGTAACACCGTTGTTAAGTGAATCTGGCTTGAACATTGACTTTGCTTGTCGGAAGCTCGCAAAAGTGATCACACGACCCCAGGACACTGCAACTGTTGTAAATGTGAACCAGTTGTCAAGCAGCCAAATGTAAATCATGTGACCATGGGGTGCTGCAATGGTCATAAGTGTGAAAAATTGTCATAAGTCACTTTTTTCAATGCCATTGTAACGGTCACTAAATGAACTAGGTTTTTTAATGGTTAAATAGTTTTATTAGTTTATAATATAGCATACAAAGAAAATACAAAAGTAAATAGTAGGGGAAACAGGGAAAGGGAAAGGGAAGAGAGGGAAGGGGATTTTTTTAAAAAAATGGTATGGACTTCCAATTCCCTTTGGTGCAGCAGAATAAGGCATAAACATCAAACCTCAACTTTTTACTTTTACATAATCATAATAACTAGCCATTTCTTTAACAACAAATCTATCTAATCGGTAAAACCCAAAATCAAAGTTTCATTTTTTTACACCTCAAGCAGAAAGTCCAGAAACGGTTTCCAAGTAGAAATAAAGGTACTTGCATATTTTTGCCTTGCTCAAAACAGTCAATTTAGCTATCTCTGCTAACTCTATCAATTTTTGCAGCCGTTCATCCATTGTAGGCATCGAGGTGACCTTCCATTTCTGTGCATAAAGTAGTCACTAAATGAACTGTTGTAAGTCAAGGGCTATTTGTAGGGTCCTTTGTTTTGCTGAAACTGTTCGAAAGGAAATCAGTTTTAACATATTTGATAGTTTCTCCCAAAGGAATTCATTCTGATTTACATCACTTATCCCCCAGGGACTTGAGAACTATCAATTAATTTTATTAAGACAGGCTTTTATCAGCCAGGTACCAGCATTTCATTTGTAAATGGCATTAGATTTATTAGACCTGTTTATTACTAACAGATGAGGAGGAGCTAATGGATATGCCACAGATAGTTCTCAATTTAAAAACTATTCGTTTAGTGACTGGTCAAACGTACAACAGCACTGAAAAAAAAGGGGCATTGTCATTTTTCATATTTATACCCGTTATAGCATCCCCCACAGTGATGTGAACAAAATTCAGGCACTTGACAAGTGGCACATGTTTATGACAGTCACACTATCCTGGATCATGTGATGACCATTCAGTATAGTTTTTATTGTCATTGTACAAAATAAATACAACGAAATTTGTAAACTTCCTCAGCTGACTTCCAACAAGCAAAATCAATGAGAGAAGTCAGATTGGCTTAATGATCACATGATTCATTTAACAGCTTTACGGGCACAGTGGTCATCTTTGTTTCTTGGTTGAGGGAGCCAGCGCTGCCTGAAGACAATTTCCATAGTCACGTGACCAGCATGGCCATACACCATCAAAGTGGTACCTATTAATCTACTTGCATTTACATGCTTTCCCACTGCTAAGTGGACAGGGGGGGCTGGGCAGGTAATGAGAGTTCACTATGTTCCATGGAGCTCGGGTTCTGAACCTTGATTGTCAGCTCTCCAGCTAACAAGCTCAGCATCTTTAACTGCTAATCCATCCCATTGCCCTTTTCTTTATATGAAGGATCATAGAAAGATGTCCTCCAGACCAGTGGTAAGATTAAAAAATTTTACTACCAATTCTGTGGGCGTAGCTTAGTGGGCGTGGCAGGGGAAGAATACTGCAAAATCCCCATTCCCTTCCCATCCCACTAACCTGCTTTCCAGCTCTGTTCTCCTGTTCAGGGCAACAAAAGAAGATCTGCTGGGAGGCAGCGGGGGCGGGGCCAGCCTATTTGCTGGTTCTCCGAACTACTCAAATTTCTGCTACTGGTTCTCCAGAACCTGTCAGAACTGGCTGAATACCACCTCTGCTCCAGACCATTGGTTCCTTTAGGTCTATGTTGTCTATAAGGCATATGTCTTTCCTAGGCCTGCCTGCAGTTGCTAGGGACCCAGAGTCACGTACATGACTATTCAGCTTCTATGTCTTCCCTGTTTCATTCCTGTTTTTTCTTTTCTTTATCTGAAAATGCTGTTGGTTTGTTTTTTTAGCAGGATTACTGATAAACTATGTGCAATACACATAGAGAACGTGCCATCCTCAATCAAGTTTTATAGTTGTTTCAAAGAGTAAAAAAATAAATGAAACCATGGAAAATCCAAAGAATGAATACTCCAGCCGCAGTTGAGTTCTACACTAAATAAAATAAAGGCATTTCAGTTTCACTGAAGGGAAAATCTGATAATGCATTTATTGATGTATACAATAAAATCTGAAGTGTAAAATATCCTATTTGTATTACAAGGTGAATAAGACAAATGGCAACTTTACACACAAACACACACACACACACTGAGCGGGAGAGAAACCAGGATGTATATATACATCAGCAAACATGTAAGGCAAGCAAAAATCTGCAGAAATCTAAAAACTTATTATCGAATGCTACAGTCTTTCATTTGTTTCCTAAATTTATGAGGAAGGTAAAAGACAAATTTGTAGTATGATGATGCATCTTTATTTCCAAATAGTTTTCATAGATGCGTATGTATGTAAAAATGATTAATGTAAGTCATAGACTGGGACCATGAAGCAAATGATGGATGAATCTGTGAGGCTTTGCCCCAAAGCGATCCCTTTTCCTGAGCCTCAGAATTACTTGACACATTTTAAATATATATTGATATGGTAAAGGGAGGGAGAGAGAGAGAAGGAATGCATGTGTGAGAGAGACAGAGAGAGACAGAAAGAGAGAGAGAGATCAAACAATGGGATGCTTGTGTGGAAACTATTATTCACTGCTACTCGATAAAAGAAAAGAGATGATCATTTCCTGCCAATCTTGAATGATTACTTGGATGGTCCTATATAGGAAGTAACATTATACTCCTATACTACTATTTCCTGCTTGCCCCCATTCCTGCACAATCAGTACTTAGTGTGTCTCCTGCAACAAGATCTAATGTTTTTCTTCTTCTGTCTCAGCACGGCTTCTCCCCACTGCTTTGATTTCTTCTCACTTTTGCAAATCACTGTGCTATGTGACAGAAGATGCCTTTGGAGCCCTTGTGGTAGTTCAGCGAGGAACAGAACTGTTATCGCTGCAAGAGGCAAATTTCACTGGCATCGGGATAAGTGTCTGAGGAAAAAAAGAGAGAAATAGGAGGAGGAAGATAGGCAAGGTTGAAGCACTCAAACGAAGGAAGATCACTTTCTTACAGATACAGTTAAACTCTAAAAGGATAATAGAAAAAAGGATGTGGAGTACATGCTTGAGGGGAAGAAACCCTTTTATACATTGGCTAAGATAATAGGAGTATACATGCATTGTTGTATATTTGCATCAGGTCAGATTACATATATATAATAGGGATGCGGTGGCTAAGACACTGAGCTCGTCGATCAGAAAGGTCGGCAGTTTGGCAATTCATAACTCTAGTGCCGCGTAACAGAGTGAGCTCTCGCTACTTATCCCAGTTTCTGCCAACATAGCACACTACACTTGATCTTAGCCAAAAGGCCGAGAAGCGATATGCAGTTAGAAAGCATGTAAAACTGCAAGTAGAAAAATAGGAACCACCTTTGGTGGGAAGGTAATATCGTTCCATGTGCCTTTGGCATTTAGTCTAAGGTGACCAGACGTCCCGCATCTGGCGGAACAGGCACGCCTTTCCATAATTTTTCCCGCATCCCGGGCCATTCTCAAAAAACCCCGCTTTATTTTGGCGCTCTCAGCTCGCTCGCTCCCCCGCCCATCAGC